ACGGACATGGGCAGGCATTCATTACCCCTTTAAAAAAAAAATGTTATTATGGTAACTTTGTTATTATGTTATTATGGCCGGGTAACAAACAAAGAGGTAACTTTGTTTCCCAGGCTTAGTTTGTCTCTTTATCCATTTAGTTTTATCTGCATAACTTTTCCTTTACTCTAAAGCAATTCTTAAATAGCCGCTTAACTAAAAAAAATAAAATAAAATAAAATAAAAAACCTTTTCTTTAGCAAAACACACATCCCTGTGTTTTTTTGTTTTTTGTTTTTTGGAGCAGAGATTTAAAGAGAAACAGCGCTTCATATAGAGAGAGAGGGGTCTCCAAGCAGAAAAGACCAGCAGGCGGCATATACGCCAGATTTTGCACAAAGGAAAGGAGAAATATGGTGGTCACGGACAGGAAAGGAGGAAATTACAATAGGGAAGGTGGAGATCCTATTACTGACACCCCATCAGGTGGTCAGAAGCTGGGACTAGTCCAGAAGCCTTAGGATAACACCTAAGGATAACACCTTAGGATAACAGGTAGCCCCAGCCAGAAATCCTCAGTTGCCCCCAAACCTCTTCCAGCCCCATGCAACGGCTGTCCCCTGTGAAAGGAAGCTAGTTCAAACATGGCCAATACGCCCAGCAACCCATGAGTACTGGGTTGTACCCATGGGTTCTCCATGTTCTCTCCAGAAAGCCTGTCCTTTAAGTCTTATAAGGCTGGCATTCATGCTAATAGTTTTTAAATGGCCGAACATGGCCTAGTAGTTGCTTAGATTTCATTCTTAAATGGAGGCTGAGAGCCTTGAAATGAAAGGACAGAGTTGGAGTTCACTCCTCTTCTCACCATTTCAATGAATGTTGTACCTTGGTATCCCAGATGAGCCTCCAATATGAACTGGCTACGTTGTCTGGGGCATAAACCTGGGATTTGTCATCTCATGCGGGAAACTTAGGACATGACTAACACATGAGGAGTTTAGGAGTGGAGGTTTAATAGGTAGAAGAGAAGAGAAAGAAATAGCTCTCTCTATAGACAGAGAGGAGTTACCAAACGGAAAAGAACCCCTCCTTTTGTTTTTATAAACTTCACCTAAAACACCTCTGTCACCCAGACTGGAGTGCAGTGGCACAATCTCGGTTCACTGCAACCTCAAGTGATTCTCATGCTTCGGGCCCCCAAGTAGCTGGAATTACAGGTATGCGCCACCAGGCCCAGTTAATTTTTGTATTTAAAAAAAATTTTTTTACTGCATTTTAGGTTTTGGGGTACATGTGAAGATCACGCAAGATTGTTGCATAGGTACACACGTGGCAGTGTGATTTGCTGCCTTCCTCCCCATCACCTATATCTGGCATTTCTCCCCATGCTATCTCTCCCCAATTCCCTACCACCAGCTGTCCCTCCCCTATTTCCCCCCAACAGACCCCAGTGTGTAGTGCTCCCCTCCCTGTGTCCATGTGTTCTCATGTGTCCCGCCTATGAGTGAGAACATGCAGTGTTTGATTTTCTGCTCTTGTGTCAGTTTGCTCAGAATGATGGTTTCCAGGTTCATCCATGTCCCTTAAGTAAGAAACTTAAGATTAAATATATGATTATTTTATTAATAATTCAAGATTTAGCTATTCTCATTAAGTCAACAATACTAATGTCTTATTTATCAAAAATTACAGAAGCAAAGATCATTCTGCTTTTGGCTGGGTTTATAATTTTATAATCCTTATGTTAAATTCTGACACCTTATAGTAGTTAGCAAGGATAAGTATGAAATTGCTTGATCAATAAACGCAAACAAAAATACATGCTGACAATCCTTTAAAAATGTCTAAGGCCGGGCGCGGTGGCTCAAGCCTGTAATCCCAGCACTTTGGGAGGCCGAGGCGGGTGGATCACGAGGTCAAGAGATCGAGACCATCCTGGTCAACATGGTGAAACCCCGTCTCTACTAAAAATACAAAAAATTAGCTGGGCATGGTGGTGCATGCCTGTAATCCCAGCTACTCAGGAGGCTGAGGCAGGAGAATTGCCTGAACCCAGGAGGTGGAGGTTGCGGTGAGCCGAGATTGCGCCATTGCACTCCAGCCTGGGTAACATGAGTGAAACTCCGTCTCAAAAAAAAAAAAAAAAGTCTAATATTACTTTACCAATAATTTTAAAGCCAACTTATTTATTAAATATTTTACTTAAGTCATCTGAATTTGAAAAGCGTTTGTGCTTATTACTTAATTTATGAGTACTCTTTAACTTTAAGCCAATTAGGTAACTTGTAGTCAAAAACACACAACAAAATACATGTACATACACATAAACACACACATACACACTCATACAAAGATCCTATAGCTTTAACTTCAAAACTCTAGCCATGAGACATTAATACAGATTCACTGGTTTGCAAAAACAGCAACAAAAAGAAATGGTTGAATGTAAACAATCAATTTTATCTCAGTAGAAAAATAACAGCAGACTTAAACAGCAAAGAAGAAAAAGATAAACAGAGAACTTAGGAACTTCATAGTTTCAGGCTGACCTCTGGGCTCTGAATTCTCTGTGATCTAATATGTCCCTCTATTTAAAATGTGCACAAGAACAGACCTAATGTGTAACCATCTGGATTATTAGAAAACCCGGCATACCTTCTGTTTATACAACCACTTGCAAGTAGAGGCACCATAAAACCAAACCGGGTGCCTGACTTGTTTTTCCTCATTCTTAGACGATTTGCTTCCCTCATTTTTTTTTCCTTTTTTCTCAAGACAGAGTCTTGCTCTGTCACCCAGGCTGAAGTGCAGTGGTGTGATCTCGGCTCACTGCAACCTCCACCCTCCTGGATCAAGTGATTCTCCTGCCTCAGCCTCCCAAGTAGCTAGGGTTGCAGGTGCCCGCCACAATACCCAACTAATTTTTTTGTATTTCTAATAGAGACAGGGTTTCACCATGTTGGTCAGGCTGGTCTCAAACTCCTGACCTCAAGTGATCCACCCAGTTCAGCCTCCCAAATTTCCGGGATTAGAGGCATGAGCCCAGCCTCCCAATTTTTTTTTTTAAGGAGGAAATGAGACCAGGCACAGTGGCTCACACCTATAATCCCAGCTCTTTAGGAGGCCGAGGTGGGAGGATTACTTGAGGTCAGGAGTTCAAGACCAGCCTGGCCAACACGGTGAAACTGTCTCTACTAAAAATATAAAAGATTAGCCAGGCATGGTGGCATGCACCTGTAAACCCAGCTACTTGGGAGACTAAGGCAAGAGAATTACTTGAACCCAGGAGGCGTAGGTTGCAGCGTGCGAGATCCAAGAACTCTCTCTTGGGGTCTGGATCAGGACTCCTTTCCTGTAACTTATTTCTGGTGACCACAGATGGGACTCTAATGCAGAAACCCTGATCCAACGGCTACCCTTGGGTAAGTGTCATGGTCCTGTAACCTATTTCTGGTGACCACGGAAGCAACTATACTGCAGAAACCCCCAAGCCAAAGGCTAACTTTGGGTAAGTGGTGGGGTCCAGTAACATCTTCCTCATGAACCACAAAAGGGACAATACTGAGGAGACCCCCCGACCGAAAAGAAATAGGCTGCAGCACTGATTGGATAACTTTGATTAAGTGGTGGGGTACCCAGGTAAAGAAGGGGATTGGGTTAGAAGCCCAACTTAGGGGAGTTAGTCTCTCCTAAGACAGAGTGGGTTAGAGGCCCCTCTTAATAAAAGGCAAGGAAGCTGGGTGTGGTGGCTCACACCTGTAATCCCAGCACTTTGGGAGGCCAAGGTGAGCAGATCACCTGAGGTCAGGAGTTTGAGACCTGCCTGACCAATATGGAGAAACCCGTCTCTACTAAAAATAAAAAATTAGCCAGTCATGGTGGAAGATGCCTGTAGTCTCAGCTATTCAGGAGGCTGAGACAGGAGAATTGTTTGACTCCGGGAGGCAGAGGTTGCAGTGAGCTAAGATCGGGCCTCTGCACTCCAGCCTGGGCGACAGAGCGAGACCCCTTCTCAAAAAACAAACAAAAAAAGGCAAGGACACTTAACTGACCTTGGGTTAGAGTCCCTTCTAAGACTTAGGGGGTTAGAGATCCCTCTCCGTAAAGTCACTCTCGGCTAAGAACAGGTTACTGCTAATTAATCTGCATTCTTTGCTGATGGCTATGGGTGACAGGGTTAGGCATGTACAGGATTGTAGACATGGGAGATTTCTCCTCCCTAAAAGAGGAAATTTGAGATTTAATAGGATTGCTGGAAAAGATCCCTTTGCTACCGCAGAAGCCATCTGTTCCATTCTCATTGTGATGACATGACCAGATCTAGATTTTGAAAATATTATCGAAATTGCCCTTGTGGAGAAAAGCTTGAAGAGCCACCTGAGCAGATGTGGAAAGATCAGTCAGGAAGCTGTGGAGTAGTCCGGGGGAACAGCACTGGTAACCTGCCTTAAAGTAGCAGCAGGCAAATGGAGAGAAGTTCAGGCCTCAGGAAACAATTACGGCAGAAGGGGAAGTAAACACGTCCTTCTTCATGTAGCAGCAGCAAGGTGAAATAGAGAGCAAAGGGATGGGTGGGGAAAGCTCCTTATAAAACCATCAGATCTCATGAGAACTCACTCACTATCACGAAAACAGCATGCAGGTAACCACCTCCATGATTCAATTACCTCCCACTGGGCGCCCCCCCATGACACATGGGGATCATGGGAACTACAATTCAAGATAAGATTTGGGTGGGGACACAGCCAAACTGTTTCAATTACTTACCCTATCTTGCCCATTGCTTCCTATGGAAAACATAATAAACAACGCTTGCCCACATTTTTCCCCTCCCTCCACTTCTTCACAGACCGTGGTGCCTCCCTGAGTGGCTCCACATGGTGCACCATGGCTCCTGTTTCTAGAGATCTGTGAGGATAAGCATCCTCCTTCATGACAGTCATTTCTGTGTCTTTCTATCTTACCATATCTGATTAAAACAAATCCTGGGTACCCTTAAAATAAGAAAAATACCTTAAAAATTTTTTTTAATACTCAATTTATTCTAATTTGAATTAGGGTGGTGTATGATGGCAAACTCCAAGCAAAAGAGCACTTCTTCAGGACTCCCAGAAATAGCTTCAGCAACACATTTGTATCGTCCCTAAAATGAAGTATAAGAAATACAAGTAATACAAAATATTAATGCTACTGTTTCAGATGCTTTTGTAAGAATGTTCTCTTACTAGCAGAAAGCCATTTAAATTGGATTGATTTTATTAGTTTTCCAATGAAATAAAATTTTCCAAGTCTGAATTCAATGAGCATAGAGCCTATTTATTTCCCAATTATAAGATTATGTTATTTATAATTTTTAAAAACTAACCTAAGAGGTTTTAAAACATTAGATATTAGTTTGTAACAAAATAATGAAAGAATATGCATTATTAAAGTTTATTTTAAAATGGTCACCAAAAGTAAAATGCATAAAATTTCATTACTAGATATGTCATGCAAATATCTAAAATCACAATGGTAGTATTCATTGAGGCAGCAACTATTTTCACAAAGGCATGGATGTCCAGACTAAGTACCCAAGAAAAATCTTGAATAAAATAAGTCTATAATTTATGTAATTTTTATTCTCCTAAACAAGGCTTACATTATATTTAGTGTATTTCATGAGCAGTTATAGAGATTTACTGGCTTATACACAGTGGTCATCCAGTGCTTTCATCTGAAGACTGTTCAACAGATTAATAATGAGCACTTGCATTCAAATTACTTTTAGACATAAATGCTAGAGGGAAAAAAAATGAAGGGAAAAAAGTGCTATCATTTGTGCAATTTTTCCATATTCTACAGAAAAAAGAAATACCAAAAGACTTAATACTAAGGCCAATCGAGGTGGCTCACACCTATAATCCCAGCACTTTGGGAGGCCAATGTGTGGCAGGCCAGGTTTCACTAACAACTGTTTCAGTACTAATTGAGTAAAGTTAAATATTAAAAGCCAGTGGCCTTATACAAAGGATGGGATGTAACAAAAGTCCATCCAGAATTATTCTCAGGCCTTTCCTGGGCCTTAAAGCGTGACAAAATAAAGGAATTCTTAATAGGACCCATTTAGGATTAATCAAGTTTTATTGTGGGTCTGAAGAAAGCCCCCAGGCCTTTAAAAACAAGTGTATTGAGGGTCTGAAGGAACTCCTCAAATCTCCATGATTTAGCAGGAGACAAGATAAAGGTAATCACCCCAGCACCCGGATCTATTTAAGTAAATTTACTGTGGCTCCAGAGGAAGGTCTTCAGGACTTTGACCTTAGTTAATAAATTAAAAGAAATTAGGCCAGGTGCGGTGGCTCAAGCCTGTAATCCCAGCACTTTGGGAGGCCGAGGCGGGTGGATCACGAGGTCAAGAAATCGAGACCATCCTGGTCAACATGGTGAAACCCCGTCTCTACTAAAAATACAAAAAAAAAAAAATTAGCTGGGCATGGTGGTGCGTGCCTGTAATCCCAGCTACTCAGGAGGCTGAGGCAGAATTGCCTGAACCCAGGAGGCGGAGGTTGCGGTGAGCCGAGATCGCGCCATTGCACTCCAGCCTGGGTAACGTGAGTGAAACTCCGTCTCAAAAAAAAAAAAAAAAAAAAAGAAATTAATCACTTATGTCCTTAGAATGTACATAAGCTCTGAAAACTTTGTAATTTTGAGTTGGTCTGCCGATAATTTCCAGACCTTCTCCTTGTAACCGGTTACAGAAATAAAAGCTCTCTTCCTCCCCTGTTCATCTGCATCTCGTTATTGGGCTGCAAGAAATAGCAGCCAACCCTCAGTTTGGTCCAGGAACAAAGGTGGGTGGATCACTTGAGGCCAGGAGGTTGAGACCAGCCTGGACAACATGGTGAAACCCCATCTCTACTAAAAATAAAAAAAATTAGCAGGGCATGGTGGCATGCACCTGTAATTCCAGCTACTCAGGTGATTGAGGCACAGAATCCATAGCATTTGGAAGGCGGAAGTTACAGGGAGCTCAGAACACACTTCAGTCTGCGCAAGAGAGCAAGATTCTGTCACACACACACAAAAAAGCAAATCCTAAATAAAAGTGAAGGAAAAAATCTTGAACATCTTAATCTTGAATTGCTACTCAAAAAATTCTCAGCTGGGCGCAGTTGCCCATGCCTGTAATCCCAGTACTTTGGAAGGCTAAGCAGAGTGAATCACTTGAGCTCAGGAGTTCAAGACCAGCCTGGGAAACATGTTGAAACCCCATCTCTTCCAAAAATACAAAAAATTAGCTGTCATTGTGGCATGCGCCTGTAGTCCCAGCTACTTAGGAGGCTGAGGCAGGAAGATTGCTTGGGTGGGGGTTGAGCAGTGGAGGTTGCAGTGAGTGGAGATCATGCCACTGCACTCCAGCCTGAGTGACAGACTGAGATCCCCATTTCAAAAAAAAATAAGAAGAAGTTGTGAACTGCTTGTTTCAAATACTTAACAGTCTATTACTGCTAAAGGTTAGGAAATTACAAAATAAATCTGGAACAATACCTTAGAAAATTTTATTCCCTTGAAGGAGAATGGTACTGTGATATTCAAAGTCTCTGCAAACAAAATATAAAATACAGGTCATCGTTAGGTGATCTTTTTCTTGGTAGCATAGGGTATACCTTTATGGCATACACTAACTACTGACAGACGCAGTCCCAAGCAAAACTATAGAAAAATAATAAACCTTTTATATACTCTGGCTACCATTCTCCTGTGGCTTCCTTTCCCCGCCTCTAGAGCCTCTCTCTATCTCTGCCCCTATCTTACCCCTTAGGAGACACAAACTATTAAGACCTACTGGTCTTAATAATGAATAAACGATGAACAAGCTAGGGCTAGTATGCTTCAGACCAAGTTACACATGTGAATTTTAAACTAGTTTTCAGACCGGGTGTAGTGGCTCACACTTGTAATCCCAGCACTTTGGGAGGCCGAGGCAGGCGGATCACGAGGTCAGGAGATCAAGACCATCCTGGCAACATGATGAAACCCCATTTCTACTAAAAATACAAAAATTAGCTGGGTGTGGTGGCGTGCATCTGTGATCCCAGCTACTGAGGAGGCTGAGGCAGGAGAATCACTTGAACCCGGGAGGCGGAGTTTGCAGTGAGCCGAGATCATGCCACTGCACTTCAGCCTGGCAACAGAGCAAGACTCCATCTCAAAAAAAAAAAAAAAACGTTTTCAGAGATACTGATACACATTAGGCTAGGTATAAAAGAGAAGAATCTTCCCAAAGACAGATGAGATATTTCGGAGGCAGCCAGAATACTGAATCTCCTCCCAATTACACCACAGAGAAGCTCAAGTTAGCTTCTGTTTAAATGCATAGCCATGGGCCTGGCCCACACAAGCCATGAAGCACGGAGCACAGAGTCAAAAGGGCAGGAAAAACCACACCCTACTGTTCTAGTCAGAACAAAAAAGTGAATGTGGTGGGATAAAGATAGAAATATATGTTCTGAATCTCAAACAAGAAAAATAGTGACCGAAAATATTTTTAATCTAAGTAGTTAAATCTAAAACTTCTTTTTTTTTTTTTTTGAGACAGTCTCACTCCGTCACCAGGCGCCAGGCTGAAGTGCAGTAGCAAGTCCTCGGCTCACTGCAACCTCCGCCTCCCAGGTTCAAGCAATTCTCCTACCTCAGCCTCCTAAGTAGCTGGGACTACAGGTGCACGCCACCACACCCAGCTAATTTTTTTTGTATTTTTAGTAGAGACAGGGTTTCACCATGTTGACCAGGATGGTCTCAATCTCTTGACCTCGTGATCCACCCACCTCAGCCTCCCAAAGTGCTGGGATTACAGGCATGAGCCACCGCGCCCGACCAAATCTAAAACTATATTATTCTTAGAAGTAAATAGATTGTGTCTGCATGTATGCTTCTAGTCTCACAAATAAGCATTTATTTATTTACTTCTGGGTGTATCCTTTTTTGTTGTTTTGTTTTTTCCTTTCCTTTTTGCTCTTTCTTTAAAGCAAATCAAGAGTGTATCTTTTTTTTTTTTTTGAAATGGAGGCTCACTCTGTCACCCAGGCTGGAGTGCAATGGCACAATCTTGGCTCACTGCAACCTCTGCCTCCAGGGTTCAAGCGATTCTCCTGCCTCAACCTCCCCAGTAGCTGGGATTACAGGTGCCCACCACCACTCCTGGCTAATTTTTGTATTATTAGTAGAGACAGGGTTTTACCATCTTGGCCAGGCTGGTCTTGAACTTCTGAGCTCAGGTAATCTGCCCACCTCGGCCTCCCAAAGTGCTGAGATTATAGGTGTGAGTCACTGCACCTGGCCGGGTATATTCTTACTAAAGGAGTTGACAGCTGAGGTGTTTCTTGAGCTCAGTAAAGTGATTGTGGCTTCATAATTGTATGATCTTTCGTTCAAGGCCAATCCAATTCACAATTTAACAAATACTTTTGAAAGCCTAGTACCCACCAGGGACTGGGAAGACAATAGTAGTGCAACTCTGTCCCTTCTCTCAAAGAGCTAAAGTCTATTGGAGATGCAGATATGCAAAGAAACCATTCCAGTTGTGAGCTGTGACTCACTCCTGTAATCACAACACTTTGGAAGGCCAAGGAGGGCAGATCCCTTGAGCCAAGAAGTTCAACACCAGCCTGGGCAACACAGTGGAGCCTTGTCTGTGCAAAATATATATATATATATATATGATGAGTGTGGTGGTATGTTCCTGTAATCTCAGCTACTTGAGAGGCTGAGGTGGGAGAATCACTTGAGTCCAGTAGGTAGAGGCTATAGTGAGCTATGTTTGTACCACTGCACACCAGCCTGGGCGACAGGGAGACTTTGCCTCAAAATTAATTAATTAATTAATTAATTAAATTTAAATTTAAAACCAAAAAAGCCCCCCAAAATAAGAAGACACCATTCCAAATACAATATGCAATGGGAAAGATATGGTAAGAATAAAGATAACATTTTTAGGCAGGGCACAATAGCTCACACCTGTAATCCCAGCACTTTGGGAGGCCGAGGCAGATGGATCAGCTGAGGTCTAGAGTTTGAGACAGCCTGAGCAACACGGAGAAACCCCATCTCTACTAAAAATACAAACTTAGCCGGGCATGGTGGCTCAAGCCTGTAATCCCAGCTACTGGAAAGCTGAGGCAGGAGAATCACTTGAACCTGGCAGGTGGGGGCTGCAGTGAGCCAAGATCATGCCATTGCACTCCAGCCTAGGCAACAAGAGTGAAGCTCTGTCTCAAAAAACAAAACAAAACAAAAAAGGTAACATCTTTGTAAGAGTGATGGCTTTGTGGCCAGAACTGCTTGGGTTTGAATCCCAGCTCCTCTACTTGGTCACTTAATTATCCTATGCCTCAGTAAAATGGAGATGGATGATAACACCTACCTCATAGGATTATTACAAGGGCTATACCAGTTAATACATGTTAAGTGCTAAGAACAATGCCTGGGACATAGCACTTATTAAATATTATTACCATTAACTGTTACTTATAACATTTATTATTTATTTATTTATTTATTTTATTATTATTATTTTTTGAGACGGAGTTTCGCTCTTGTTACCCAGGCTGGAGTGCAATGGCGCGATCTCGGCTCACCGCAACCTCCGCCTCCTGGGTTCAGGCAATTCTCCTGCCTCAGCCTTCTGAGTAGCTGGGATTACAGGCACGCATCACCATGCCCAGCTAATTTTTTGTATTTTTTTTAGTAGAAACGGGGTTTCACCATGTTGACCAGGATGGTCTCGATTTCTTGACCTCGTGATCCACCCGCCTCGGCCTCCCAAAGTGCCGGGATTACAGGCGTGAGCCACCGCGCCCGGCCCTACTTATAACATTTAATATTATTCCTTCTCCTTTCTAAACTCTCCTTCCAATGGCATCTTGTGAATATTAATGCATTAATATATTAGTCATATATTTATATATTATATAATAATAATAAGCTCTATCTTATTTAGTTGCTGGTTTCTTTGAGAGTATTTATCACAAACTGAATCATATTTCATTTCTCTCCTTGTCTTTATCTTATTACTTCATTAGGATCTTGTTTTCTCTACTAGTCTATAATCTCCATGAGGACAGGGGTTTTGTTTTGGACATTTTTGAATGTGGCTCCTAGTACCTAGTTCTCAGTACCCAGCTGCTTCAGTACCAACTATTAGGTTGGTATAAAAGTAATTGCAGTTTTTGTCATTGAAAGTAATGCAATATATCGGTGGTGGCTGGCCGGGGAAATGGCGGCTTCAGGAGAGAGCGGGACGTCGGGCGGCGGAGGCAGCACAGAGGAAGCATTTATGACCTTCTACAGTGAGGTGAAACAAATAGAGAAGAGAGACTCGGTTCTAACATCCAAAAATCAGATTGAAAGACTGACCCGTCCTGGTTCCTCTTACTTCAATTTGAACCCATTTGAGGTTCTTCAGATCGATCCTGAAGTTACAGATGAAGAAATAAAAAAGAGGTTTCGGCAGTTATCCATATTGGTGCATCCTGACAAAAATCAAGATGATGCTGACAGAGCACAAAAGGCTTTTGAAGCTGTGGACAAAGCTTACAAGTTGCTACTGGATCAGGAGCAAAAGAAGAGGGCCCTGGATGTAATTCAGGCAGGAAAAGAATACGTGGAACACACTGTGAAAGAGCGAAAAAAACAATTAAAGAAGGAAGGAAAACCTACGATTGTAAAGGAGGATGACCCTGAGCTGTTCAAACAAGCTGTATATAAACAGACAATGAAACTCTTTGCCGAGCTGGAAATTAAAAGGAAAGAGAGAGAAGCCAAAGAGATGCATGAAAGGAAACGACAAAGGGAGGAAGAGATCGAAGCTCAAGAAAAAGCCAAACGAGAAAGAGAGTGGCAGAAAAACTTTGAGGAAAGTTGAGATGGTCATGTAGACAGCTGGCGAAATTTCCAAGCCAATACAAAGGGGAAGAAAGAGAAGAAAAATCGGACCTTCCTGAGACCACCAAAAGTAAAAATGGAGCAGTGTGAGTGACCGCCCAGGGTCACAGGCACAGAACCTTCCCCCTGCTGTCTCCCTTCCTGCTTCGAAGGACTCATTCTTTCCTCCCACTTCCACCCCAACATAGAGTAGTATTTGCTTTTTAGTCCATTTTGTTTTCAATACAATTTAATATCGATCAGAGTAATTCTTTAGTACATTGAAATGAGGGGCTTGGTTTAAAAAGAAGACCTTCCCCTCTCCCTGCCCCTAGAACCACCAGGATTGGAAGGTGCCACCACTGGTGCTGCCTTCTCTTCTCACAGCCTGTAACTTAATGTTTTGTACTTCACTGAATTGCGATGGTTAGAAACTTCGTGGCTAGTTTGTGGAAATCATCCAATTAAACATATTGCTTAAAATGGTGTTGCTGTGACTGCAGAGACAGGCCTGGGGCATCTTAGGAAGCCCCTTCGCTTCAGTTGCTAGCTTTTGGGTGTGCTCCCTTTGAAGCCCCAGATGAGACAGGGAACACTTGTGGACACTCAGAGCAGGCACCCGCTGTCCTGGTGCCCTGTGGCGTTTGGCATGTGCCCTCCCGCCTACTGACCAGTCAGC